TCACTGAGATCAGCTGCATCTCCTTTGGTGCACTGGCAGAGAGGGGTCTTCTGGGACAGCAAGGGGAAATGTTGAGGATGACACACGTTGCATTCCCCAGCCTCCACACAGCACCCAAAGCTCACAGCTGAGAAACAGAACTGCCCGAGAGTTGTCTGAGGCTCATCTGGCTCTGTGAGCCCTGTGGGACTCCCTTGGCAGGTCCCCATTTATTTCTCTAGAGGTTTGGTGTCACATCCAACTCGGTGAGGGGACAGGGACATCTGGGTGACAGCTGCAGCCAGACAGGCTGGAGGCAGAAGTGAAACTGACACCAATGTCCTCAGTTTCCTGTGCAGCACCAGGGCAGACACGAGAGCCTGTGCAAGGCTGCTGGGGCTGGTGGTCAGGAAGAGGTCTGAATGGACAGAGAGGTCCTCCTGGTGTCCGGGAGGACAGCAGGGACTCAGTTCCTTCCCCTGTCCCCTTGCCCTGTGATTGGACTACTGAAGGTCCCGCTTTGCCTTGGTGACATCTTCAATCTACAGGTTGTCACGCCTGACCCATGAAGGGTGCAGCCACAACACCACCACTATTATTGACCTAACTGCATGAAAAGTCCAGGCTGAAGAAGAAACACATTTTCCATAGACTTTCTTCCTGGGAGAACCGGCATCAAACTGCCCTGGGAACTTATCTGGAGCAGCTCCTGGGGAGCGGTCCCTGGTGGTGGTCCAGCCGGCCAAAACACTCTCCTCCTTTGCTCCTTGACTCCCAAGTGCCCCAAAGTGTTGAGGCATCCTGAGAAGCCCCTGCTCAACCCCTCAGCTGGGCAAAGGGAGCCCTGATCCAGCCATCCCGGCAGGCACCCAGGGTGTGTGGAGCACCTCTGCTCCTTTCTCACCAAGAGGAAAGATGGGTGCTGGACGAGATGTTCTCTGGGAACCTTTCAATTGGGCAGAGAAATGGAGGTTGCTTTTACTCTCTGTAGCAACCAACTTTTCCCAACCCAGAGATGACTCCCAGCAAACTTTTCTCTCCGATTCATTCATGCACTGGGCTGTTTTTCCCAGAGATGGCTGCATGTCAGCACAGCTGCCTGAATTTTGCTTGTGAAATGCATGAAGGTGAGCAGCTCCTTAGCTGTTGCTGTGCTCCTTGCACTGGGAACAGCCCCCCACCTCAGCACACATAGGCCAGGCACAGCTCCTCCTTGCAAGGCAGCAGCTGGACCTGTTAACTCATTCCCACCCATGCCTCCATTGCTCCGGAAAGCGCTTGTCACCCAGATGCCCCAGAAGCATGGTTTTTAGGCAGGTTTTGAAGGAAGGACACCCCTTCTCATGGTGGGCTGCTGTTCCTGCTAGCTGCAGTTGGCCAAGCCGCCTGGTCCCACACCGAGCAGGACCAGCTGCACCTCTGAGCCCATCGGTCACCTCCAGCCAGAGGAGTAAGCCAGAACTCTCAGACAGGATTCAGCCCGAGAAAGACAAGCAAGGTGATTTATCCCAGCCAGGGCAGTTTGCTCCACCACAGCCAACCGTGACAAACACTCTGGCTTTGTAGCGGTGACCCCAACTTCCAGAGATGTCCTGCTGCTGCCCCAGGATGCTGCGGGACACATGCAGACACCACGGAGGGGTTCAGCCCTGAGCATCTTGTCCTCACCCCAGACATCCAGCTCAGCCGTTTACTGACCTGTCTCCCATCTCCCTCAGCAGCACGCAGGTCTTGAAGTATCCAAGCGTTGTTGGCCAAATTTTCTTATTTCTACCCACTTTGAGCTCTTCTCCATTTTCCAGCTACTTCGTTCACGTCTGCTGGTGCTGACTCACAGGAAGTCTGGGTCAGTGATGTGAAAACTACCAGGGGAGGAGAGACGGAGGCAGAGAAGCTGGGTCAGGGAGGGAAGGGGCTCAAGGATAGGAAACAGCAGCCCTAAAACCTCTTGGGCGAGGGTGGGAGGATCCCTGCTGGTACCCCTGCCTGGCTTCCCGCGCCTGGTCCCCGCGCAGGCGCTGCCTGGGCTGCAGCTATGGGAGCTGTGGTCCTCAGCGGGGATGCTGCTCGCCCGTTCGCTTCGGAGGATGCCTTCGCTGGGTGGCTGCGGGCTGTTTTAGGGAAACGCAATGCCCACGCTGCAGCAGGCTGGAAATAGCTTCTGATTTCTATTAGTTCTCTTTTTTAATTGCTACTTTTAGGCAGCTAAACTGCACTGCTTTGCATTAGAAGTCCCCATTACATACCTCTGAGACCTCACCATGGATGCTTCCACTGTCTATTCGTGTGGCTGAGTCCCCTTAGAGTTGTGCAAGCAAGGGAAGAAATCCTACTCTCCTCTTCCATGACCTTTTTGTTGGTGGATCTCAAAACCCTTTGCAAATAGGAAATGCAGTGAGGTGACTTGAAAGGGGACGTTTGGTGAGACTGTGGCAGAGCCCAGGACTGCATCCTCTGCTAAGTGCAGTGGAGGGGGTCTCCACTCAGCGAGTCCAAGAAAATTGTTTTGTCCATGTATCTGTGAGCCTCCAGCTCCCAGAAAAGCTGGACTGCCTGTTCTTGGGTGCTCTGTAGCAGTTAGCAGGCTGCCTGGATTGGGCTGTGGCTGTAACCAGCAGCACTGACACCCGCAAAAACCCACAGTAAATCCATGGTGCTGCCAGTCTGGGCCAAGTAGCAGGTCCTGGAGCGTTTGGTGGCTGCTGGACATGTGCTTGTTTTGGGTCACGGAAAACCCAAACCATGTCTCTGAAACAAATGGTGACTTTCCTGGGCACCGGAGTACAATGTTCTCAACTCTCTTGTCTTTACCTGAAACTTTTAGCCTGAGTCAGAGCCAGGGATGAGTCCCAGAGCAGAGCTGGATGATGCCATCCCGTACGGAGTTTAGCTGTATGGATGCAAGCCAGCTTGGTGTCCTCAGTGCTGGAGAAGTGTCCTTGGCTGAGCTGAATTAATCATACAGACACAACCACATTGCCTAGCTATTTATCCCCAGCACCTTGCAGACAGCAGCTTGGGTAGTACAGATTGAAGTGATGGGGAGACACACTCTCAGAATTAGGACTTTTAAAATAAATAGCAATTTTTAAAAAATGAAAATAATTGTACTGTAAAAAAGAAGTTCAGCCTGTGTTGGTCATTGCATATTTTGTGCTCCCTGTGTTTTCTGATTTCATATATGTTGTCCCTGGTGTCATTTAGAAGCCAAACCAATGCCTCCTGACATGGTTATTCAGATAAAATGAGCCCACAACTGTTTCAAAGCATGACATGGGAGAACCGGAGAAGGATGAGGGTGTGCATCCGATGCAGGTTCCTTGTGGGATTTTGTGTAGATCCAAAGCTTTGCCTCAGTTTCCCCATCTCTAAAAATGGGCTGAAATACTGTAAATATTATTTTTGTCTTTTACAGGAATTTAGTATCCTCAGGAAAAAAATCTATTATGTCCCATCCTTGAAACCTTGGGAAAAAAAAAAGCAACAGTTTTCTTTGACCTTTTGGGTAGGAATCACCCCATGTCACACTCCTGGCTCACAAGTGATGACACAAAGGAGTGACACTGACATTCTCTTAGGTTTTCTTTTCCCACTTATGAAATAGAAAAGAGGGACAAAAACCAGAAAAAAGTCGATGTTTTAATGTTCTTTTTTTTGTTTTCTTTGGGTTTTTTTTTTTGTACGTTAAGGAAGTGAGGTGACACGGGCAGATTAAAATACTTGGCTAGTTGATGGCAAGCCCCAGGCAAAGGAGAAGTGAAGTCCTCTGATATATGCAACCTTATGCTGTTGCACCAGATACCTTTCTTGTCCACAGTGGGGGTGATATGTGGTGACTTGGTCGACAAATTGTGCTGGTGAAGATCATGCCATCTTCTGCCCTAATGCAGGTAGATAGGGAGTAGCACCTTTGTGCTGCTGTTATGCTCAATTAGCAGCAAGGAGCTTTTGAAAGTCAGGGTCCTGCTCCTTGCTGCCATCTGTGCCCATGGTCTCTTGGGACTGTAGGTTCATGATGAGTCAATTTAGTTAGGTGACTTGGGAAAATGCCCTGAAAAAAAAAAACCACAACAAAAAAAAAGAAAAGAAAATAGCCTTTAAAAGTTTTCCATTGCTCCAGGCAGCTAAGTCTTCTTTTCCATCTCTCCC